TGAGGGAATGACGTAGTGAAAGAAAGAGGGAGGCCAGAGGTGATTTGCTAAACTTTCCAAGGCCTGGTGATTGAGTTGAATTGATGCTTTAACAAATAAGAGTCTTCAGAAGAGGAACAGGTTTGGTAGAAAAATGATGAGTTAGTTTTATTAATTTTGGCAGAGAGTTTAAAGATTCAAATAAATAGCAAAAGAAAATAAAAGCAAAATAAGCCTGGAATACAAGAACATCAATGAACAAATAAAATACAATCCACCATACAAAGTACAGGCTCCAATCCTGTTTTTTTCATTTTTATTCTTAGGCTGATGGCCTTTTCCTATTCCATGTGGGATCTTGAGGTCAGATAAGTTACTTTAGTTTTCAACATGTTGAATGGATTCTTCATTAATATTCATTTTCAGTATTTTAATTTTTCTGGAAAATAATTTACCTTGTTGCTTTTATAGGTAAAAATTTTTCAGGAATTCGGTGGTCTGTTTTTAAATAGCAGCTTCATTGAGATATAAGTCAAATACCAATAAAATTCACTTTTAAAAAAATGTACATACAATTTAGTGGTTTTTAGTATAGTCACAGAGTTGTGCAACCGTCACTGCTATCAATTTTAGGACATTTCATTACCCCCAAAGAAACCTATACTGTATTTTTCATATAAATGGGATCATAATACAAGATGTGACCTTTTGTGACTGGTTTCTTTCCCTTAGCGTATGTTTTCTAGGTATATCCCTGTTGTAGCATGTGTTAGTACTAAATTCTTTTTTATGGCTGAATAATATTCTGCTGTTTGGAATTTCATTTTATTTGTACATTCGTTAACTGACAGCCATTGAGTTGTGTCTACTTTTGGCTGTTATGCACCAGTGCTACTGTGAACATTCACATACGAGTTTTTTTGTGGACAGGATTTCATTTTTCTTGGGTAGCATTGTGAAGAGTGGAATTGCTGGGTCATATGGTAACTGTTTACCGTCTTGTATAATTGTCAGACTGTTTTCTGGAAGTGGCTGTGCCATTTTGTAATCCTACCAGGAATGTGTGGGGGTTCCAGTTTCTCTCCTTCCTCCCCCATGCTTACTGTCTTTTTGATTTATCCATCCCAGTGGGTAAGAAGTGGTACATCAATTGTGGGTTTTGTTTGTTTTGTTTTTTGTTTTTATGAGACAGGGTCTTACTCTGTTACCCGGGCTAGAGTGCAGTGGCGTCATCATAGCTCACTGAAGCCTCAAACTCCTGGGCTCAAGTGTATCTTCCTGCCTCAGCCTCCCAAATAGCTGGGACTACAGGTGCATGCCACTAGACCCAGCTAATTTTAAAATTTTTTGTAGAGATGGGGGTCTCACCATGTTGCTCAGACTGGTCTTTTACTCCTGGGCTCAAGAGATGCTCCTGCGTTGGCCTCCCAAAGTGCTGGGATTACAGGCATGAGCCACCACACTGGCCTCATTGTGGTTTTGATTTGCATTTCCCTAATGACTAATGTTGAGCATTGTGTGCCTATTGGCCATCATCTTCGGAGAAATGTCTATTAGAATTCTTTTGTCCATTTCTAAATTGGGTTGTCTTTTTGTTATTGTCAGTGGTCTCTTAACAGAGTTGGGTGTTGTTAACTGCCAAGTAGCATTTTGTACCAGATGATGGTGAATTTTTCATAATATGTATTAGTGATAGACTTTTAGGTTTAACTAGTTGTTAATCAGGAATATTTTATAAAATGTGCATCCTTATAAAGTAATCCTTTAAAAAGTCCTGCTAAGATTTTACTTCAAGGTGACTGGTACAGTCAGTAAGACTTGCTTGAGCATGCCTCAATAATAATGAGAAGACCTAACTTTAATATTTTTGGAATGTCAAAAACAGCAACGTTTTAATTAAGTACTTTTAAACTTTAAGCATCAAATTTTAATTATGTACATTGAGTCTTTGACTTAACTGGAGCAATTTTGTCTTTTCCCAAGTAATTGAATCTACTTTGTGAAATGTGTTCTCATATCTTTGTTTTTTTTTTTTTAGGTTATCCTGAATACATGTCTAACAGTTTTCCTCGCATCGTTAGCCATTGTTTTTCACTGCCTCTGAAAAATAAAAGTTGCTCCAGAAATTGGAGACATATTTGATTTAAAAGAAAAAACTTGAACAAATGGACAATATGTCTATTACAAATACACCAACAAGTAATGATGCCTGTCTGAGCATTGTGCATAGTTTGATGTGCCATAGACAAGGTGGAGAGAGTGAAACATTTGCAAAAAGAGCAATTGAAAGTTTGGTAAAGAAGCTGAAGGAGAAAAAAGATGAATTGGATTCCTTAATAACAGCTATAACTACAAATGGAGCTCATCCTAGTAAATGTGTTACCATACAGAGAACGCTGGATGGAAGGCTTCAGGTTAGTCTTATACTAGAATTTTTCTATGTCTTCTGTGGTGGCAGATTTTAAAAAATTGTTTCCTTTTAAGTTACTATAGGATAATTTAATGCGTGCTCCATCTCTTCAGATACTGTGCATCCTGTACCAATATGCATTATGGGAATATGTGGAAGAATATGCAAAAGATATGTCTTAAAAGTTTTTTAATGTTCTGACTCAAAAAAAAGTTCAATGAAGAAAGTTTGGAAAATAAAAATAAAAAGCAAAAGAAAACCCACACTCTGAGAGAACTACTTTTAGCACTTTGGTATTCATTCTTGTAGCTGTTTTTCTTTTTTTTGGTATTGTATGAACATTTAAACATCTGAATTGTACTTATTCCTTTTATAATTTAGAAATCTGATATTATATTGCACTGATAACAAAAGTTTCAGTGATCATATTTTTCATGTAGAACTACATAATACATTTCCTGTGCTTAAAGAAACTTACAAAAATCTTATGTCATTAGATTCTAAAATTTCATTTCTAAATTTTAAGCATAGTTTCTACAACAAATTCTTTTTGCATTTTTAAAACCTGAGCACAGGCCTTAAATTTGTAACTAGGTTCACTTCTAGCTCTGATGTGTGCCACGGCCAAGTTGGTTATTTTAAGCTTTAATTTTCTCATTTATGAAATGGGGATTACAATACTGACTTTGTAGGATTGTGAAGATTAAATGAGAACATATATAAAGTGTCTTGCATAATGTCTGACATGTAACTGATGCTCCTTTATTTTTCCTAGGTGGCTGGTCGGAAAGGATTTCCTCATGTGATTTATGCTCGTCTCTGGAGGTGGCCTGATCTTCATAAAAATGAACTAAAACATGTTAAATACTGTCAGTATGCCTTTGACTTAAAATGTGATAGTGTCTGTGTGAATCCATATCACTATGAACGAGTTGTATCACCTGGAATTGGTAAGTAGACAATGCATTGGTCCTTAGAATCATACAAGGAAAAAAGATCTCAGTAGTATTTTAATTTTTCTAAGTGAAATTATAAATTTGAAGATAGCCCAGGACTTCAGATAAGGTTAAAGAATCAGACATTTTAAATATAAGTATTTAAATTTCAACTTGGGGGAAAAAACTCGTATTTTGACTGCTAAAACTGAGTAGTAGATAGCTGATATTTTGGTCATTTAGAACATTGTTTTTGAAAAATAAGATAGAAAACATTATAGATTTGAATAGTTTATATATTATTAGATGGTATGTGTGCTATTTCTCCTTAACTGAAATGGTTCATGCAGTTTTATAATTTCTGACTTAAATTTACATTCTGTAATTTTAAATATAATAGAAAATATTGTCATGGTAATGATTAATGTTTCATTTTTTTCCCTTTAAAAAATTAAGATCTCTCAGGATTAACACTGCAGAATAATGGTAGGTAATCTTACAACTTTCTCTATTTCTTTTATCCTATCCTCTCTATTTTTTTTTGTTGACCTAAAATTAGTTTGTGTGAGTGCCAGTAATATTAACAAGAAAAAACCTTACTGCTTTGGAAATGTGGATTTTTGGGGGGCATGCATCAGCATTTAAAACTGGATTTACACTTTGGGAGGCCGAGGCTGGGAGGATTGCTTTAGGCCAGGAATTTGAGTTTGCAGTGAGCTATAGTCACGCCACTACACTTTAGCCTCCAGTGACAGAGTGAGACCCTGTCTCAAAAAACAAAAAACCTAAAAAAACCCCTGGATTTAAATAGGCTATTGGGGACCAGGCAAACGCCTGTCATCCTACCACTTTGGGCTATCAGTTGAGCCCAGGAGTTCGAGACCAGCCTGGGCAACATAGTAAGACCCTGTCTCTACAAAAAATTTAAAAATTAGCTGAGCATGATGATGCATGTCTGTAGTCCCAGCTACTCAGGAGGCTGAGCCCGGGAGTTCAAGGCTACAGTGAGCTGTGATCACACCACTGCACTCTAGCTTTCATGATAGAGTGAGACCCTGTCCCTAAAAAAATAAATAGGCTTTTGGCTTTTTGGATTTAAAGTGCAATTTATGAACTGAAGTACCCTAAGAAATATGATAGAGGAGTGCACCAAAAACATAAATGCAAGGTAGAATATTTTTGAATTACTAAAAACTGGCTATTTTGAAGAAAATCTCACAGAGCCAATTTTTAAAATCGGTATTAAGTATCCATAATGTTTGGTAATTTGGAATCATGTATAACATTGTTGAGAATGATTTAAAATTACATTTATTAGTATTTTTTTCAATGTTGTTGCATTTGAGTAAATAAGTCAAGGCTACTTTAAAGTATACTCCCATCACTGCTAATCTAATCACAGTTTTAAAAAGAAAAATGTTTTGAGGTAAGAAAATGAAACACAAGTGGGGGCTGTGTTTTTGTTTTTTAGTGTAATATTTGAGAACAGTTTTATTAAATCTTTAGCTCTGTTACTTAGAACTTGTTAATGAACTAAAATTTCTGTAAGAACTAATTCATTTGCAGAGAAACTCTGATAAAGAACCTCTATTATCTTGGAAAGGTGTGCTATTGTTCTGGAGGGAAATTAGCTTGGCACCTAAAGTTGCAGAATTTTAGAGGTGGGTCAAAAATATCATGTGACTTTAAACAAAATTTAGGAAGAGCACGCAAGTTTACTTGTTTTTATTCTCCACTTTTCTTTCATGTCACTAATAGTAGATGATGCCAGTGCCTTGTGGTACTTGTTAATGATTAGTACGTTTCTGAGAAGTGTGGGTTGTTAATAGGAGCTGTTGTGGTCTGGGCAGGGTAGCTTTAAGATCGGGTAAAACTCTGCCTCTTTGCCCCACGGACATTGATATCATGTCACTTCTTTTGTTTGGAAAGTAAACACCCTTCAGGCCTTCACCATTCTCACTCAGTCCATGTTTTTGGAGAATGAAAGCATTTAGCTCAGTGGATATTAGGGGTTGGGAGACTGTAATGGTAACTGTATCAGAATCTCTCTACAGAGGTTGGGCATGGTGGCTTACGCCTGTAATCCTAGCACTTTGGGAGGTCGAGGTTCAAGGATTGCTTGAGGCCAGGAGTTTGAGACCAGCCTGAGCAACATAGCAAGACTCTGTCTCTACCAAAAATAGAAAAATTAACCAAGCATGGTGGCATGCACCTGTAGTCCCAGATACTCGGAAGGCTGAGTCAGGAAGATCGCTTGAGCCCAGGAGTTTGAGGCTGCAGTGAGCTATGATGATGCCGCTGCAGCTAGCCCAGGCAACAGAGCAAGACTCTGTCTTAAAGAAAAAAAAGTTTCCCTATGGGGGTGGTTATGAGGGGGTCCAAATTCTGAATGCTTATCACATACCTCCTTATCCTAAAATTACTGCTGTTCTGAACAGTCGTTATTGATGGGGTTGTATGGGTTGATAGCCTCTCTCTAGTGACTCTAGGGCTGTGTTCAGCCTTGTAGATCCCCCTAGTGGTGGTTATGTAAAGACAGTTTGCAGTGGCTTCTTTCCTGAGAAAACAGCAGATGTTTCTCATAGCTCCTTCTAGATTTGGACAAAGAAATAATATAAGACCAGGTCACTGGAAGTTAAGAAAATGGAAAAATTCCTTCACTTTTGAGTTGAGGTCTTATGGTAATCATTTGCAGCCTGTTTCATCTCTTTCATGAAACTTTCCTTGACCGCAGCGACATGTGCATTCATTTTAACAAATATTTAATGAGCATATATCGCCTGGTAGTGTGTTAGGTTCCAGAGATGCTAAGATAATAAGGTATGTTTTCTCCACTCTAAGGAGTTCATGATCTAGTGAAGGAGAGAAAAAGTAAATAAGAGAGTGATAGTACCATTTCACCAGTGCTGTGGCCTGCCTGCTGGTGTTGATAAAGAACACAGACCTAGGGTAGGCCCAGTGGCTTCACCTTTTTTGTCACCTGTAGAGAGTACATTTTTTTTTTTTTTTACCCGTTATAGAACATTTTAATATATATATATATAGTAATACATTATTCTCTCTGTATATAACTACTCTAAAAATATGGTTCAATAATAATAGCTAACACTGAGTACTCATTGTGTGTCAGGTACTGAGCTAAATGAGTACTGTGTCATTCTCACATTACTTCTACATGATAGGTGGGATTATCCACACTTTACCAGATGGAGACACTGGTGCCTGGAGAGGTCAAGGAACTTGCCCGAGATTAGACAGCTAGGAGGAGCTGGAGTAGTAATGTGTGCTAACTATTAGGTATTTAAACAATAGAAAAATAATACAGGACAATAAGCTCCACGAAGGCAGGGATATTTGTTTTGTTTATCGATGTATCCCAAGTACTAGAACAGTACCTAGAACATAGGTGCTTAAGAAATACTTCTTCAGTGAATGAATTTGTTGAATGCTAGACCATGAAGAGAAATACTTAACAGTTTGGTGTCTGTTTTTCTGGACTTGTTTTTTTGAACAGGCAGTAGATGGTCCATAAATCAAAATACTTTAAAAAGATATACAGTGAAAAAAAGTGCTCTTACCCCTCTCCCCATTCCCCACTACCTCAGGTAATCACTTTTATTAGTTTCTGGTGTTTCCTTCCAGGGTTTCTTTATGCAAAAAATACATGTATTATTTCCCTCCTTTATTACACAAAAAGCATACTGTGCCTACTGTTCTGTACCTTGTATTTTTACTTAGAGTATGACTTTTTTTTTTTTTTAACATGCCTGTGATCGCAATGTAGTGTTTCATAACTTTTTTTCTCTTGGCAAAAATATATTGCAGACTTCTGTCCTTGTAGATACCTTCAGTTTTACGTAAGAAACATATATTTTAGGTTATTTGATTAAAGATACCTATAGACTGGTAGAAGTCCCAAACTTGTATTTGGGAAGTTTGGCCAATATATTAAGGTGAGAAAAATTTGAATCATAACTATTTAAAAGCAACGTAGAGCTGGTACTTGGAGATGTCACGATTGCCCGTTAAGCTGAAGAGTCAACTGAAAAGCAGAAGCAAGAGTATCAGGTTACCAGGTATATCCTGAAATCAGCTAGCAATGCCAATATATTGGTTAAAAGATCCCAGTCACTATGACAACAAAAAACCTAAAGTGTCCAGGAATTAATTAGAGATGTCAGGATTTTTTTTCAGCCTTTTGGTTTTTACCTTCTTCATGTTATGTATTTAGGTGATTATTATTCTAGGTTTATTAGCCGTTGGAATATAGTCTAGCTTCAAATTTGAGAGTCAGATTGATAAAATATAACTGTTGCTATTACCTCTAAGAAATTGGCTTTTGCTGATAAAGTAGTAAACTTTTAAAATAACATGAAAAAAGTCTGAATTGGAGTTATTTATACTGTAGTTGTTTTAGGCCTTATGAGATTTTTTTTCTGAGAATAGAAACTTATAAAAATTTAAAATATGTTTAATTTTCTACATAGCTCCACCAAGTATGTTGGTAAAGGATGAATATGTTCATGACTTTGAGGGACAGCCATCGTTATCCACTGAAGGACATTCAATTCAAACCATCCAGCATCCACCAAGTAATCGTGCGTCGACAGAGACATACAGCACCCCAGCTCTGTTAGCCCCATCCGAGTCTAATGCTACCAGCAACGCCAACTTTCCCAACATTCCTGTGGCTTCCACAAGTGAGTTCTAGAATCACATGTAGTCAGCAAGTTGAATTTTCCCAGTCCTTGCATATTTATGTGTAGTCACTTGGAGGAAAACTCCAAGTAAGTAAAAATTAAAAGTGCTATGTTATCTTTCATGGGTAAACAAGTATTAAATAGATTTTTGGGTTGGTCCTAGGAAAAATGATGTTTGTAATTTATTTAAAGGTTCTTATGTTGAGATACAGTCACTTGGAATTTAAGTAATGACTTTGATTGTAACATGGATTTAAATTAGTGATCTAATTTCTACTTTACTATTACGTGCAGAAGTAAGAAGCTTGAGTTTTCAGATAGATTTTAGAGAAATATTTATTATCAAGTAGCTTTTTGAACCAAGATGTTTATTAATATAAAAATTAGTGTTACTGGATTTGCAACCTTTCTTTTAATTCAGTGTTCTTATTTTGCTTTATCTAGGAAAACATTACATTGTAGTAGTCATCTCATTTTCTCATTGTGCAAACTTAGAAAAAGGGATCTTGATAAACTTTTTACAACATATATCCTCAAGGTAGACATTAAGTCTTTTAGTCAATTTTGATATAAAGCTAAATTCTACATCTCTCTTTTTTAAACATACGAATTTTTTCAAATAAATCTGTTTCAAAAGGGTTCTTCTTCTCTGGCATGTCGTAGGAATTAGAAGGCCTAATAAGGTTCAGGTTTTTTGGAGCCTGATCATATGACCTGGTTCAGTTAGTACTGCTGTTTATTTTCACAGTTACCAAAGGCTGGACGGTTTGCTGCTTGGCCAGTGGAATGGTTTTTTCCTCTTCTTCTTTGTTTTTTTTTTTTTTTCTTCAAACCACAAAATGTTGTCTTGGTATGTGTATGGGGTTAGTTGTACGCAGTTGCTAAGGGAATTGTATCTAAATCCACATCAACAGATTTTTGATAGATCTGGACTCATACTTTGTTAGTTGCTACCAAAGGGACCATTATTTTATTTACTTTAATGTTAGATCAGATTCATTGTAAGAATTTTATCTTTGGAATAAATGGGACCTGATTTCTATAATTGTGAATTTTCAAATATACCAAATATCTCCCTCTTTAATACATTTCACTACTTCAAAGCAATATCTTTTTGGTTTACTGTGTAAGAGATAACAATCTCTCACCATGGACAGCATATTCTAAGTGGATCATATAGGTTAAGCACGGTGGAATCTGGACTTTTAATCACTTGGTGCTTCTGTTATCTGTCTACTTTTTATTTACCAATTTGGGAATATGGTTGACATATAATGGATAGTGATGGAAAGTAAAAGAAGGTACATTACAGCCACTTGGGCATAAATTAGTGCTAGAGCACAGGTACCTATCTCTGTTTATATTATCTGGAGATTGAATTTCTATGACTTTACTATGTCACTTTACTAAAGTGACTTCATTTTGACTATTCTGTTCCCTGGAGCTGAGTCCTATTCACAGACCAGAAAAAGTGATATAAATGAAATGCAGCTAATTTTGTCTCAGTATGTTTTGGGTAGATATTTACAATTGAATAGTAAATACTGTAAATTTCAGAACTTGTGGCAAAATGTTTCTTTGGATCTCAAAAGGTGTATTGATAGAATTAAATGAAAGGAAAGAAGTTGGACTAAAATAGAGGAATTGGAATGCTGTTTTCCATGAGCTGATTTAGTTGTATTATTTATCTTATGCACTTGGAACTATGTAATGGAAATAGCCAATACAGATAACTCTACTGGGCCACTTTACAATTTATGTTCATTTGGTACCTGAATATCTTCAAAGTTTCTTTTTAAATATCTGTAAATTAAAATCATTTCATTTCTCCTGTGTAGTGGTAGTTTTTTTGTGTGTTACCCAAGAATATGTAGAATTGTTAAAAACGAGCAAAAATAGAATTAACCATTAAAGATAACTTGCAGAATTTTGGGGGATGAGTAGGAAGGGAGGTTGCTAAAAACATTATCTTTACAAATAAACAGTTTGGGGAGTACTGAAATTTTCTCTTTAGCTTTTGGTTTTACAATCTTAGCTTTAAGGAAATGTGATATGTAGAGAAAGTGTTCCTTTTCCGTGATACTTTGAGCAATGGTGACATTTACTCTCTTCCATCTGTTTATACTCCCATTTAGATGAGGAAAGAATGAGGTGATGCCAGTGACAAATAATTACGAAATTCAGTGCTTTCCAAATGGGATAAATAATTCACTAACTAACTGCTTGCTTTAAGAAATCAAGCTTTTTCCACTTTAAAAAAAAAAAAGAGTCTTAAAAATGTAGGGAAAGTAAGCAGTATCACAGAATGGTTTTTTTGAACAGAAATCAGAGAGGAAGTTTAGTCCTCCTGGTATATTACATGTGGAGAGGGCAACTAATGTTGTGTAAATATGGGAATACGTTGTTCTTGAAAAGACATTATTCTTGGCTTATAAAAGCACATGAAAAAATTTCATCGTAGACTGATAGGTGTTTTTTCATTTGTTCTTAACCACTAAATGCTGTATGGATTGGATAGTGGAGCTGGATCTTTTTAACTTCCTCACCTTCCCCATCACATCCTATAAAATATCTTTCTGTTCTGCTTTTCTTTTATCAAATCCTAGCATTCTGCCATTACCAGTACCAGTGCTGATAATGATTAATTTTCCAGTTTGCAACATTATCTTGAGCCTGGATTTTTGAGGTCCTAATCAGAAAGGTCCATAGAGAGCTGGATGGAGTGGCCAGTGGTGAACTGATGTGCTTCTGAAGAAGTTATTATGATAGATTAAACATATATTAGAATTTTGCTGGCATTTGAAGAATATTTGTGAAGAAATAGGCCACTAAAATTAGCTAGAGATTACTTAAAATGGAATAATATTGAGCTTCTTCAAGTTAAGGTTTGCCTTTATAAATGACTAGGTTTTTTATTTGATAGGCCATGGGTGAGTTCCACTTTTTACCCATCTTTACAGTTGTGGATTATCAGATGTGATTGGTCCTTCATTTATTATATAAAATCATAGGATTGGATCTATATATGTGCCATGTTAATGTCTTCTTGTTCCTCTAGGTCAGCCTGCTAGTATACTAGCAGGCAGCCATAGTGAAGGACTGTTGCAGATAGCATCAGGGCCTCAGCCAGGACAGCAGCAGAATGGATTTACTGGTCAGCCAGCTACTTACCATCATAGTATGTGCATGCTTTTTAAAATCTTTTAAACAGTTGAGAAAAAATAGGCAGCCTTTATAAAAGCAAATTAATCCATGTGGGCCTTAATTTTTAGACAGCACTACCACCTGGACTGGAAGTAGGACTGCACCATACACACCTAATTTGCCTCACCACCAAAACGGCCATCTTCAGCACCACCCGCCTATGCCGCCCCATCCCGGACATTACTGTAAGCTCTTGTTTTTGTTGTAAGGGCTTTTTCTTTTGTAGGACTTTGTTTTCTTTCTATTTTTTAAAAAAACGTTTCACATCTTTTATTCATTCTACAGTTTTGTCTCATTAAATAATTAGTGCTTTTCAGTATTTTTTTGTAAACGGTATTATTTATTTTTCATAATTATGTTCTCATACCTTCTTTAGAGGAGTGGTATTTACTAAATACGTTTATTTCTCCGCTGCTAATGTTTCATTAACACTACATTGATTTCCATTCATTTGTTTGTTTGCTTTGTATGTATTCTTAGATCTCATGTGTATCTTGTATACTCACCCGTGGTGGATTGAAACCCCTTGAGTGCTAAGTTCTCAAGGTTTCCCTCACCTTAGTATTCACTGCACCATAGATACTCAGATGTTGAATCTGTAGATAGTTTGCAGGCATGATGGGAGGGATACCCTATAGATAGCCTGTAGTTTCAGGCAGAATAGGAACACTGTTCATTTGGCTTAGTAAAATTAAGAGTATAAATCTTTCATATATATAAAATCCCTTTCCTCTCATTATAAGATTAATAGTACCAAAGAATCCTTAAAATACAGAAAAGTATAAATAACAAAATTACTCAGAATCCTACCACCCAGAGAAATCCACTTTTAATATTTGTCATTTTCCTTCCAGTCATATAAATGGATATATATAAATTGTGCGGAGGGGGGTTCATACTATACGTATATTGTATATATCTTGCTTTTTTTTCAGTTATGTTACTGTTTTTCCATCTCTTAAGAGAATATACTTTTTAATGGCTACCTGGGTCAGCATAGGGGTTATGAGTGCTGAGTTTGGGGCTTTAGCTGTGTGACCACTGGCAAGTTATTTAACCTCAAGGGGTGTTGTGAGAAGTAAATGTAATAATGTCTTAATACACAATAAGCTTTAAATTTTGTTAGCTACTATTCCATTATAAACATTCTTAATTTAGTAAGCACTTGTTTTTAGAAAAGACCTAAAAATTTAAATTATTATTATACAAGGTATACTGTATTACATGTTACACGAATAATTTCTTTATATTCTGCATTAAATATTGCATGTACAACCATTTGTAAATTGCTTAATTGCACTTGGTTCATAGTGCTAAAATGTTAGTTATTAAATATCCACAAAAGTAATTTAAGAGTATTTTTTTATTATACTTACAACTAAGTTTTTAAGTTCTTAGACATTGTATAAGCTTGTTCTAAACAACTCCTAAGGTATGATAGTTGTATTGAAGTAAGGTCTATTAAAAGGTTTAGCATTGGAAAACTTTTAATAAATAAAAATGGGGTTTTTATTGTCGTTTCTTTAGGGCCAGTTCACAATGAGCTTGCATTCCAGCCTCCCATTTCCAATCATCCTGGTAAGTGTATTTCAAAACTGATTTCCTATATTTGGATTTTCTTCATGGTGACTGAAACATACACATATAAGTTTTAATACAATTAATTACAAGGTAACTTAATTTCTCAGATAAGGGCAATATTCATTATGACATGAGTTAATCAGCAGTTTAAGAGTCGCTGATAATAGTCACACATAGACTGTCTATATTTTAGCTGAAAGCATAGTTCTTTTCTTTTAGAGATAGTTAAAAAATCATATATAAAGTATGGAAATGCTGGCTTCAGCATTGAATAAATAATCAGCAGAATAAAACTAGGTTTCAAAATAGGACAGCTATAAAACTATAGCTTAAGAAGCCAGGGAAGAATCTTAGGTAGATGTGAAAAGAAAAGTAATTCACTGTATCTGTCTTAGAAGATAGATTTAGGAATCTCTAGTCGACTAGAATTTAGAAACTATTGATGAAATTGTGTTAAAGAGAGTAAATAGCTAAGTAGCTTTCCAAGTTTGTATATAATTTTGAAACTACAGAAGACATTTGAAAATAAAATACCAAAGGTCCCTTGTAACACAAACATAGGATTTTGAATTTTTTTCCTTTACCCCTTCATATCTGTTTTTCTTAGCTTAAAAAGATGCAAACATACTACTTTAGCTCATCACCTTAGTTTTTCTGTAACCATAAATAGTTTTCCTCCTAATTAAAAAAAAAATTATGAAGAATTTCAAACATAACCAGAATTGTATAGGAAATCCCCCCATTGTACCCATTCCTCAGTTTCATCTATTGGCCAATCTTGTTACATTCCTATCCTCCCCCTTTCTCCCATCTGTATTGTTTTAAAGCAAATTCATATAATTGCTTTATTTGTAAGTATATTAATAAATATTCCCAATAAAGATTTAAAAATATATATAAATATAGTGCCCATAATGATTAATTTACTGGGTAACTTACAGTTCTCAAGTAGATCTACATAATTTTCTTTGTGTACATAGTGTTCTGTTATTACTTGTGTTGGTTCCAATTTTTCTTCTAGCTGTTTAAAACAAAGTTGAGGGGAAGATCTTTGTGTTTATAACTTTTCTCATATTTCAGTTTCAGAGATTCGCAGAATTTCTAGATGACATTGCTCTCCAGTGGTAGCATGAGAGTAGGAGAACCAGTTTTACCATGCTCACTAGCTGTAGATGTGAAGTTTAATAAGCTTTTTGCTGATTTAGGAGGCAAATAATATTTGTTTTGGTTAGGAGAAAGTGTTGGTGGGGCAGAAGCATTTTTTTAGCTATACATATTTTCCAGTTAAATTATCCTCTTTGATGGATTTTCCATATATGTTATATTGTGTATTGTGATTTTAAACATTTTTTGTGGTTCACGCCTTTTCATAAACATTTTGAGAAATGAAATACGCAGAGAAATATATAAATACTAGTGTATAGCCTAATTTCACTAAAGCCAGCACCTGTGTACCTACCACACAGATTGAGAACTGGAACACTGCAGCACCCCCAAAACCCTCCTGCCTTGTGCTCTGTCTCAGTCAAAACCTTTTCCTCTGTTCTTCCTAGAGGTACCACTGTCCTGCTTTTTTATAGATGTCATTTTTTCTTTTTGCTTTTTTAAAGTGATGAATACATTCCTAAATAGTCTCATTTAGTAGTTTGGTTTTACATGTTTTTGAAATTGTATAAAGGGAATCATTATATCAGCATCTTAATTTGCATGTGAATATATCATGATAAGGGGGGGAAACCTGGAGTGTGAAGAATGAGAATTTTTGCCAGCTCTCCGTGAGAGTCAGTAGTGGCTCCTGGCAACTTAGGGGGTCTCAGTGTTCATACAGCCTAGTGGAAGAAGGTCTGTGGGAGCAAGGGTAGTCAGGGCTCTGAAGAAAGACCTTCCCTGGATGGAATCCTGGGGTGGAGGCAGGGGTGATGGCATTTAGCTAGTCACTTGGACTCATTTTTGAATTCCGCAATTGCCTTTGGCCTCTTGATAGATTCACTTCATTCTTGTGGGAGAATTGATATTTAGGCCTAACAGCTACTGGTGGTTAGTGAATAGCAACAGCTAGTTGAGGATATGTATATGTAGCAGCATGCATTGGCATTGAAGCCTCTTTCTTCTTCTTCTTCTTCTTCTTTTTTTTTTTTTTTTTTTTTTAAAGAGATGGGGTCTTTCTGTGTCCAGGCTGGATTCAAACTCCTGGGCTCAAGCAATCGTCCCATCTCAGCCTCCTGAGTAGCTGGGACTAAAAGCCTCTGTCTTTGAGTAGAGTAAGGAAATGACATAATGGTGAGGATGATCCTGAAAAGGTCTCTGTCCAGTTGGTTGCAGGAGGGGATTAGCTCTGCATGTATTCCTTTAGTGGGGCCAGGTGGTTTAGAACCTAGATAGTCTTTGGCTGTGGATACTAATGGGGCGCCGAGGAGTTTTACCTGATAACTGTTCCTATTCATTTCTCCTCTTGTACTGCTAGAAGAACATTCTAACTGGTCTCTCTGTGAGGAGAGCTTCCAGTCCTAGTACCCTCCTTCTCACCAATTAATCTCTATTGCTGCTCAGTATTTGTTTTAAAATTTGACCCTACTTATGTTATTTCTCTGCTCAAGAACTTGCATTAATTCCCCTACTCATTGCTTGTCCATAGGATAAAGTCCAAATTCCTTAGCTAGGCAGAAAAGCGTGTCTGGTCCTGGTCTTTGTGTACTTCTCTGGCCACTTTTTTTCTTGAGACAGAGTCTCATTCTGTTACCCGGGCTGGAGTGCCATGACATCTATCTAGCTCACAGCAACCTTAAACTCCTTGGCTCAAACAATCCTGCCTCAGCCTCCTGAGTAGCTGAGACTACAGGTGGTACACCCCACCACACCCGACTAATTTTTTTTTCTATTTTTAGTAGAGACGGGGTCTCGCTCTTGCTCAGGCTGGTCTGGAACTCCTGACCTCAAGCAACCTTCCCACCTTGGCCTCCCAGAGCACTAGGATTATAGGCATGAGCCACCATGCCTGGCCTCTGGCCTTATCTCTTGATGCTTTAACCATCCTGAACTACTTACCTAAGATTGCTGGGTATATCATCCCTCTATATTTTTTCAAATGCCATTCTTTGCCTGATATATCATGTACTCTGTATTAGTTATCAGCTACTCTGCAACAAATTACCCCAAAACAAGTTAAAACAACAGTAACAATTTATGATATCACTTAGTTTCTGTGGGTAGGGATCTGGGAGTGGCTTACTTGGGTGGGTCTGGCTTAGAGTCTCATGAGGTTGCAGTAAAGTTTTTAGCTGGGGTTACCATCATCTGAAGGCTTTTTTGGGGGCTGGAGGATTCACTTTCAGGGTGGTTTACCTGGCAAGTTAGGGTTACTGTTGGCAGGAAGTTACTCTCTGTGTGGATTTCTTTTTAGAGCTGCTCGAGTGTCTTCATAACATGATAGCTAATGAGTGATCAGGAGAGAGTAAGACAGAGCCTCAGTGGTCTTTTAAGACTTAGCCTCCTAAGTCACATTATCATTTCTATAAAATCCTATGTCATGTGAGAGGGGACTGCATAAGGATGTGAATATCAGGAGGTGAGAACCACTGGAGGCCATCTTGAATGCTAGGTACCATGCACCCCTGCCCTCCCAAGTGTGGCAAACTCTTAAGATTCATCTGAAGCATGCCACTGTTTGGAAGCCTCATCCCTTGTCTCCTGCTATCTAGTATTTTCTAATCATACTAAATTACAGTTACTAGTTTATATGTCTGCTATACTTGCTTAATAAACAAATAGAAAAGAAACCAAAGTGGAAAATATTTGTACAGTTATATGGTGAATGAAACCACTAAAGGCCTGATTATGAAATGCTAAACTCTACCACAGACCTAGAACCATTTGAATAGGAAATATGCATATACCTGAGTCTTTTATATATGTAAACATCATCACAGTATTAATATATAGTAAATCTATTTTGAGAAATTATTTTTGAATATAGTTACATGTTTCTGGAAATAGGTGATATAGGTTGTAGAAAATGAAAATCAATAATATTGGTCATTACCTTTGTGTTAAAGATTTCAGACAGGCAATATACAGGCTTTGACTTTGATAACAAAGTTGAAAAAAACCTTTTCAACTTCCATACCTTTTTGGAAAAGGTTAATCACTTCATTTCTTTTTCACGGACTTACTCTGTTTTTGCTTTTTTTTAAAGTTGAGATATATTCATCAAATTAAATGTTGATTGCAGATTAAAGGGTTTCTTCAGTGTCTTTGAGGTTGTTTTGTGTTCAGATTCACAAATGGATTGGAAACCCACAAATTTCCAAGTTCAGGTGCACTTTAGAGCAATCCTCCATTCAAGACAGTACCTTTATGTGTTCATAAAAGATTCTTATTCAGGCATCTCATTCAGATTTGAATAATAAAAGGAATAATTCATAGTGAGTATCTTAGGTGCTTTAACTACATTTTTTACTTTTTCTTTTTTTTTTTTTTCCAGTTGTCCATCTAATTTCTTTCTATTTTTAGTAGAGACGGGGTCTCGCTCTTGCTCAGGCTGGTCTCGAACTCCTGAGCTCAAACAATCCGCCCTCCTCGGCCTCCCAGAGTGCTAGGATTACAGGCATGAGCCACCGCGCCCAGCTAATTTTTTCTGTATATTTTTAGTTGTCCAGATAATTTCTTTCTATTTTTTTTAGTAGAGACAGGGTCTCGCTCTTGCTCAGGCTGGTCTCGAACTCCTGAGCTCAAACAATCCACCCGCCTCGGCCTCCCAGAGTGCTAGGATTACAGGCGTGAGCCACCGCACCCGGCCTTTACTTTTTCTTGAATGACTTCATTTCAAAAATGAAAGATAATGCCTTGAAGACTTCAAATTTTTTATCATAATTAAGCAATATTTGATGATAAAACTGGGGTGTATAATGTATTTCTCCATTGCAAAAAATATTTAGCTAAGTTCTTATATTGTAAAAGGAAAAAATTTTAATGTTGTTAACTCAGTCTTTTAATAACATTTTCTCTGGCCAGTGATGACCATCCCATAGGCTTAGGCTTTATGAGACTGGCTTAACTTCACTAATTTAGGAGCAAAAACTAAAAATATCAAAGTTAGCACATCTCTCTTTCAAATGAGTTGGGGCATTCAGAAAGCCCACTCTGTACTAATTCTAGACTTCTTCTGTTGAGGCTAGTTTTGAGAAGCTGCAGTGTTGTCATTTATATGGCATTTGGTCCTTGGAGGCAAAAAAGAGCAAAGAGGTATCCAGAAGGGTTTAATGGGTATTTCATATTACTCTCTCCTGTTTTAAAAATAGGAATGTTCCCTTCTGACTGTTCAGCATATTGAGAGTGGCGTAGAAGTGTTTTTCACATAGTATTTTGTATCCCAACACTGCCAAATTTTCTGGGACCCACTTAGATCTCCCTCTTTGTCCCTTTCTGTCTTCATAAATAGTAACCTGCTTCCTCTTGCTTTCCTAGGCTTTTTTTCATCCCTGGTCTATGATGCAACTCTGATGCCAGTTTCTTTTTATCGTTGTCTCTTAAAACTCTTTTTCCCAATACTAATAGGTCAACTCAAACTAAACCTGTTCAGAGATGCAGCTTTATATAATCAATGTTGTGGTGTTATACGGTGTCTGACATATTAGACAAACGAAAGAAATCCTTTGGTGTCTGGGAAGTAATAAAATGAGGTTTAAGTGCAATTGCAGATGTTGTTATTCATGATGGTGAAAGTATATTTTTCTTAAACATGGAGGCTATAAAACCTCCCCTCTTTTACCCCTGAATTGACTCTTCACGGAAAAAAGGTTGCTCACCATCGCACTTTACTTCTGGATAGTATCCTTCAGTACGAACTGGGAGGTGCATGTACTTGGAACCTCATTTTTTACCTAGCGTTACAAACATTCTCAACATCAGGGCATTGTTTATAACAAAATTTACTGTTTGGATTAATTGTTTAAAGACCTCTTTTAAAGTGCTATTATTGTTTTGTTGCCACCAAACCATCGAGTAGTTGTCTTAGTCTCTTTAGTTTTAGCTTCAACCGGTATACCTACCAGTTGTTTGCTGAAGCTTCTTGTCCATAGCATAATGTGATATCTTCAATAAAGAATTTTACTATAGAAAAATAACTTCATAAATACTTCAAAACTGGCTTTTTAAGAAGATGCTTTTGTATATCACTAATTTTTATGTTCTAGTCATAACCAAATACATTTAAAGGAATGTTTGTGATGAGTTGATTAGATTGACATAGCAAAATATTCAAATTTTTTTTTTTTTTTTTGGGTTTTTGAATCACCCAATCTTCATGTGGTTTGTTTTATTAACTTGTCATTGGAAAGTACTTTTTTGCTTGATGGCATTTTGAAAAGGACTTACATACATAAGCCTTTATAAGTTTTTTGTTTTTATTATTTATTTTAGAGACAGGGTCTCACTCTGTCACCCAGGCTGGAGTGTAGCCACATGATCATAGCTCATTGCAGCCTCGAACTACTAGGTTCAAGTGATCCTCCCACCTCAGCCTCCTGAGTAGCTAGGACTACAGGCGCAAGCCATCGCACCTAGCTTATTTTTTAAAAAATTCTTTGTAGAGACAGGGTCTTGCTCTGTTGCCCAGCTGGTCTTGAACTCCCTGCCCCAAGTGATCCTCATCAAAGCACTCGGATTACAGGCATGAGCCACCACACTCAGCCTGTTTTAATTTTAAACATCGATCTTTTTTTTTACTTAGTTTGAAAAGATCTGGGGTTTTTGTGGGTTTTTTGTCATTCTAAGTAATGTTAGATTGTTGAAAATTTTATTGCATCAAATTCTAGTGTAAAGTTCATAAATAGCATGTTGAGATGCGGATAAATTTGCAGACAAAATTGTGCCACTCTGCTTTTCATTATAGCACTGGCCTTGCTTTTTTCTTTTTCGTAAAAACGTCAAACCCATTTCTACTCTAGGGTCTTTGCTTTTGCTTTCCTCTCTGAAGTGTTCTGTCTAGTCTTCACATAGATACAAGGCTTTTAAGTGTTACTTTTTCAGATAGGATGCCCCCCACCCCATCCAGTCTGAAGTGTTCTTCCTAATCATCTTCTGTGCCTTGTTTTATTTTTTTTCACATTGTTTGTCATTATCTGAGTTACCTTGTTCATTTGTCTGCCCCTACACCTGTGTCAGAATAGAGGATGTAGCTGTTTTATTTCTTGCTGTGTATACAGTGCCTAGAATGATCCCTAGATACTCTGTAGATATCTGTTAAATGAGTTAAAAAAGGAAAACCAAATGATTTATATATGTATGGGCTTGATGTAATAATTGTTGTATTCAAATAAAAATTAAAAGTACTTGATCAACTGTATTTGCAAACCAAACCAAGTAATGCCTCTTTGTCCCCGATCATTTAAAATTATTTTAAATCATTTATTGTTCAAGTGAATAGACTAAACACATCTTCAAAGTTAAAATTGTAGTTAACATGAACCGATTTCACTAAAAATATCTGTTGCTATGGCATACACACACAGCTGGGACAAATGACCTTTCACTCAAGAGACAGTTGAGAATCCCTGTGTTCAACACCTGTGTGGTTAGAGTATAATTAAGCTTGACTCAGGGCCGAGGATAGCTGACTTGCTTATCCACTTTCTCTCAGTTAGGAATCTATAAAAATATGCCGTAGATTGATGTTATTCAAGAACACATCCGTGGAATACACCTTAGAGTCAGTGTGTATTAAAAAAATCAAAGTTCAGACTACGTGGATGATATGTGCAGTCAAATGAAACATTGTAAAATTATTTTAGATTCTGATTACTTGTTTTTTAAATTCAGTTGACTTGATCCTTTGAGGTAAGAATCAAATGCCAGATTTTAAAAATGACTTTTAGAGTTTCAAGGATAGTGCTAGGTACAGAAGGCACGGAAATTCCTGCTTTTTAATGTATCATTTTATTTTCATCCAAGTCTTTGGGTACTTTTCACTCCCCTCTCTCCTCCCTTCACCCTTTCTTTTAGGAAAAGCTTTGTCTTGAGGAGTGAAAGTCTTACATCTTTCTCTCATGGGTGGATGTTCTTTCTCATTTCCTGTAGCTCCTGAGTATTGGTGTTCCATTGCTTACTTTGAAATGGATGTTCAGGTAGGAGAGACATTTAAGGTCCCTTCAAGCTGCCCTATCGTTACTGTTGATGGATATGTGGACCCTTCAGGAGGAGATCGCTTTTGCTTGGGTCAACTCTCCAATGTCCACAGGACAGAAGCCATTGAGAGAGCAAGGTATCGATTCTGTAGTCAGATAGTTATTTTGGAAATTAAGCATAGTGTGTTGTCTTTTATTCAAGGTTATATTTTTTAATGTACATTATATAAGTTCTTAAATGTAAATAAAGGAATAAAGGTCATCTTGAAAATTAAGAATTTATAAGTATTTCATTTTAGTTGTAGATATTTAATATATAATCATAAAAGATGGCCTTTGGTCCAGGGGTGGGAAACCTGTGGCCACAAGGCCAGAGGGTTCCCCTTTGAAAATTAATTTACATTTTCTCCGATCATATAGTATTTCTACAATTCTACTGAAAGGAAATATAAAGTGAGAACTATATTTCTGAAAGCATTGTTTATAATGTTGAAAATTGGTAATAAAAGGGAAATGGTTGATTATAATAAACTTTCATTTTTTATATAGTCTTTAAAATGTTCATAGAAAGTTTATATAAAGGAAATGCTTAAGATGAAATATTACAGGAAACAATTGTAGCTACTGTGTGATCTCACTCTTTAAGGACGTGTATATGTAAGCGCATAATCTTGACCCTATCACTTGCTGTGTGACTTTTGCAAATTACTGTTTAAGCCACTGCTGGCTAATAGAATTTTCTGTGATGAAATGATTTGTATCTGTACCATCCAGTTCAGTAGCCACTAGCCACATGTCACTATTGAGCACTTAAAATATGGCTTGGGTGATTAATTGAATTTTTAATTGTTTTAATTAATTTAAATAGCCACTTGTTGCTAGTGGCTATCAATTTGGACAGTGTAGCTATAAGCCTTAGTACCTACCTTACTGAGTTGTGAGGGTTAAATGAGAATTCAATTTAAAAGTACTTATCAAGATGAAATGTAATTCCTTTTTTCTTCCTAAGGTTGCACATAGGCAAAGGTGTGCAGTTGGAATGTAAAGGTGAAGGTGACGTTTGGGTCAGGTGCCTTAGTGACCACGCAGTCTTTGTACAGAGTTACTACTTAGACAGAGAAGCCGGGCGTGCACCTGGAGATGCTGTTCATAAGATCTACCCCAGTGCATATATAAAGGTTAGTTGCAATCTTATTTGAATATTTTAGATTTGGAGAGCTCCATTTGTGTAAAGAATTGAAATAAAAGTGGGAGGAATAGAAAAATGGCTTATGTATTAAGTATATTATCAGAAATGATGTTTGTTTTGAGCATAAAACATTTCCTGAGGATATTTATTTTATTGACATAATCAGTTACCTAGTTTTGTGGTTGTCTTCATATCCTAGTGTTTTTTTTTTATTTCAGTGTATTATGGAGGTACAAATGTTTAGGTTACATATATTGCCCTTGCCCCCTGCCCCACCCCCGAGTCAGAGCTTCAAGCATGTCCATCCCCTAGATGGTACACATCGCGCTCATTGTGTATGTATATACCCATCCCCTCCTCCACCCTCCCATCTGCCCCATACCCAATGAATGTTACTCCTATATGTGCACTTATGTGCTGATCAGTTAAAACCAATTTGATGGTGAGTACATGTGGTGTTTATTTTTCATTCTTGGGATACTTCACTTCGTAGAATGCATACCCTAATGTTCTTCAAACTTGTATTCCTTTGACTGAAATTTGTAAAAATCAGACTCTGGAATTTCATCTTAGCCAGTCTTTATGATTTTATGGAATAGAATTCTAAAATTAGTAGTTTCTCAAATTAACCTGAAAAAACTGAAATATTTTTCACTAATTCTATATTTAAACCATTTCAATTCTCCTCTATAATATACACTATTTTTGAAAGAGATAATTGTAATTAGACAGCCTATATATATTCTTAATTTTAGACTTTTCAGTCATCCTAAACATCTTCATTGTCAGCTATTATAAATTAGTAGAATTAACTGTACCTCATCATTTACTCCCAGAAAGTTGCTTAGGATACAATTCATATAGCTAGACAGTATCTACAAAAATGAAATTGCTTGATTGCCTTACAGCAGCAAACCCAGTATCTCATTTTCAGTTACAGTTCAGTTAAAGGATTTTTAAAAAAAATTTGAAACTTTTTCAAACGTACCAGGTATAAAAAAAAACAATAAGAGTCTCATGTCAATCACTAATCCATCAGGTCTTCTGAAAAACATAAGCACAATGCTGTTTATTACACCTAACAATTAATAGTAATTCCCTGTTAAAATTTTTGACAATAGAGCATCAGTTATAGCTTTGGTCTGTTAGAATAGAACAAAATATTAAATTATATTTATTGATAGGATATTCATGGTATAGAAAAGTTGGTTATTAGAGTATGATCCCATTTTTGGTAAATAATGTCGTCGATATTTGTGTTTGTTTATATGTAAGTCTAGAATGGTATGTACAATGTCTCTCTCACCAGGAATTGTCTTTGGGAGGTAGAAATTATTTATATTTTGCCACAAGGAACTTTTGTATTTGGTTACTTGTACTTTGTTATTTTTTAATGACATCGGATTTCCTTATATGCTTTGTAGACCATTTTGTATTTGTTGGCAGGTTTATTTTGAGAGAATTCATTCATTTTAATTTTCTCTTCCCTGTCGAGCAATTTTGCCCTATCCTGGTACCTGGGATTCACATCTCAGAACCAGATATTATATATTTAGGAGGTAGGGGGACTTAGTCTTTTAGGGAATTGGGTTCCAATCCGCAGGTATGCTCAAGGCCTAGTTCTCATGTGTGAGTTTCTCTGGTACTTATCTGTGCCATGAGCAAGTATTTTATTCCTAGGTGCAATCCTGAATTGGCTGTCAAAGTATTCTATCAGCACTTGATTCATGGGCAGGTGCCCAATTGTAACCCCCAGAGAGCTTTGCTGTTGTCTTTTTCCATATTATTTCAAGAAGTCAATCCCTGTCCCCACACTCTGTTTATGGTCTTGGTACCCCTAATGCCTCCTGTTTTTAGGCTCTGCTCTCTACTGTGGGTTTTGTTTCTCATCAGTTGATGGACATATGGGTTGTTTCCATATGAATTTTATGATTGGCTTGGAGAGGATGACTGTTTTTAAGTTTTCTATTCCTTATCTGTGTTTGGAGTTGACTGGGATGTCTCTGGATTACTTATATAGTTTGAAGTGAATGGATGGAGAACTACCGTGTTGAATATATAATATGTGCCAGAATAGTTTTATGAACTTACCACATATGGACTAGTTACTAGTAGTATTTAAAACAATTGAGCTTAAATCATGTGGAATCAAATATTATCTTGTATTGCCAAATAAATATACTGTAATTTATTTCTATTTTGGTACAAATGGCTCTTGAAAAGCCTTCAAGGTGTGAGACAAATTATCACTTGATTAACCACTGTTATGGACAGATTTTTTATTGATCTCATACTTTTGCCATGAACAATAGATAAATATTGTATGGGAAAAGATGTTTGGAGTTAAACAACTCATTTTGTCATGATTTAAAAAGAATTATTTCTGTTCACCAAATATATTATTGATCTTCAGAAGAGTCTTACTAGCTAGAAAGAGTTACAAGTACAGTAGTTCCCCCCTTATCCACAGGTTTGCTTTCCTCGGTTTCAGTTACCTGTGGTCAACTGTGGTCCAAAAATATTAAATGAAAAATTCCAGAAATAATTCATAAGTTTTAAATTGTGTGCTATTCTGAGTAGCATGATAAAGTCTTGCTCCATCCTGCTTGGGATAGGTATCCCTTGTCCAGTGTATCCATGCTGTCGATGATACCCAGCTGTTAGTCACTGAGTATCAGTCTCACATTGTAAGATTCACTGTCCCCGTATTGCAGTGCTTGTGTTCAAGTCACCTTTATTATTTATCTTTTGGGCAGCAGTAACATATGTAGATTACTGTTTAGGTTGCCAGATTCTCAGCAGAGGTGATACTACTGGGGTAATTGTATACAGATCACATGAATGCCTGGAAGGAGTGCCCACACGTTGAGAATACATACATAAATACACTTTCCTTTTTAATTAAAATGAGGAAGACATAGATTTAGAGAGTCATAATGTCATTTTAAAAGCCAAGAAGGTAGAACTAAATGGGTTATGTGTGTGTTTTTTTCTTTTTAAGATGTAAGTTTTTTTCCTTGCTTCTCTAAAGACATAGTAAATATATTTACGTAAATCTGATGTAATGAAATGATGTTATGCAAGCTTTAAATGAGGCAAATGTTTAAATTCTCTTTAAGTGGCCTTGCTCTTTTGCTTTCAGAAGTAAGATCTGTTTTGTTGTTTAGCACTGGGCATTCAGGTTTTTAACAGCTTTATTGAGATATAATTCACATCCTGTACAAATGAACAATTTAAAGTATACAATTCAGTGATTTTTAGTATATTCACAGCATTGTTTAGTCATCAGCACTCTCAATTTCAGAACATTTTCATCACCCCAGAAAGAAACCCCATACCCTTTTAGCTATCACCCCCAAACCTCCATTCCCCATAGCTCTAGACAACCATTAATCTACTTTGTCTCTATAGAGTTGCCTGTTTAGGACATTTCGTATAAATGGAAATCATATAATACAATCTTTTGTAACTTACTTCTTTTACTAAACATAATGTTTCAAGCTTCATCCATGTAGTGTATATCAGTACTTCATTTCTTTTTATGGCTGAATAAATACAAAGGGAAAATGGGAAATTGTAGCTAAATGTACCTTTATTTACAAAATACTCATTATGAAATTTTACAGAATTTTTCCTTTGTAGTCCTGACAAAGGTATGGTGACTTTTGGGACACCCTGTGTTCCATATACCACATTTTGTTTATCCCTTTGTCAATTGATGGACATGGATTTCCACTTCTTGGCTACATTATGAATGATACTGCTTATGAACATTTGTGTATAAGTATTGGTATGGCCGTATGTTTTCATTTCTCTTGGGTATAATTGCTGGATTGTAAGGTAACTTTATGTGCAACGTTCTGAGAAACTGCTAGACTGTTGTCCAAAATGGCTGTATCATTTTACATTCCCACTAGCAGGGTATGAGGGTTCTAGTTTCTCTACCTAATGTCATCAACATTTGTTACATCCTTTTTATTGTAGCCAGACTAGTGGGTGTGAAGTAGAATCTCATTATGTTGGTTTTGATTTGCAAATTTTTCCTGATGATATGGAGTTGGGTTTGTTTTTGATGACATATCTATTAGCGGAAGGGGCCAGGGAATGCTTCCAGGCCACAGGCGGGCTAGTTTGAAGGGCATTATGAATCCCACTTAAATTTATTCCTGGATTGTGATTCTCCAGGTAACTTAGCATGTCCTTAATGCAGTCTTATGTTCAGGTGCCCAAAATACCAACAGCACCATTTCTCTCTTTCTGGATTACTATTTCCTGGTGTTAATTCAAACTGATACAGTTTGCAGTTAAGTTTTGTGAAAGACGGTATCCTGAAGATGCTGACAGTGACCTTTATAAGGTGCTCAACTTTGTTAAGTAATAAGTTTGTAATAAATTTACAGAGTAACCACAGGAAACATGGTTAAATAAATTAAAGCAGAAATTAGCTGAGGAGTGACAGACCTCATTAAAATTAAAAACTTCTGCTCTGTGAAGGACAATGTCAAGAGAATGAGAAGACAAACCACAGACTGGGAGAAAATATTTGCAAAAGATACAGCTAATAAAAAACATACAAAGAACTCTGAACAAGAAAATGAACAACCCGATTAAAAAATGGGCAAAAGACATGAACAGACACCTTGCTGAAGATATGCAGATGGCAAGCAAGCACACGAAAAGACGTTTCAACATCACGTCATTAGAGAAGTGCAATTTAAAACCAAAATGAGATACCACTACACACCTGTTAGAATGGCCAAAATCTAAAACACTGACCAGGATGTGGAGTAGCTGGAACTCTCATTCATTGTTGATAGGAGTGCAAACTGGTACAATCATTTTGGTAGACAGTTTTATAAAAATAAACATACACTTAACCATATGATCCAGCAATCACATTCCTTGGCAAAAGAATTGAAAACTTTTATCCTCACAGAAACTTACACACGGATGTTGAAAGTAGGCAAGATGTCCTTTCAGTAGGTAAATGGATAAACTATGGTATATCAGATAATATGATTCCAACTATATGATATTCTGGAAAAGGCAAAAAAGTATGGAGACAGTAAGATAAGTGGTTGCCAGGGGTTAGTGGGAAGGGGAGGGCCAAACGCACAGGACAGAGGCTTTTTAGGACAGTGAAACTATTCTGTATATAATGATATACTACATGTCATTATAAATTTGCCCACATGTACAACACCAAGAATGAACTCGAATGTAAAATGTGGACTTTGGGTGATAATGATGTGTCAGTGTAGATTCATCAGTTGTAACAAATGTACTACTGTGGTGGGAATGTTGCTAGTGGGGACGTGTTGTGTTGGGGGGGACAGGGACTTTGTACTTTCTGCTCAATTTTGCTGTGAACCTAAAACTGCCCTAAAAAGTAAAGTTTATTTTCTTAAAAATGTGGTTATAGAGTAATCAAATGTTCGAGTCCCTACTTTGTGCTGTGGCAGGTAATACCTTCCAAAGATCACAGCCCCGTGGAAAAGTTCAGAATCTAATGGACTGTTGGGAAATTTGAGAAGGAAGTAGTCTCGTTTCTGGTTTCTAGAACTGGACTTTTTCATGCTTTCTTTACTGAAGTCTTTTAGGATTAATGATTTGGCCAGGTAATACATACATATTTGACAAATTCATATCTCTTCAAAGAATAGGATAGTCTAAGTGTTATCCTTCATTGGTGCTAATTGGGAAAGACTTTTGGGGAAGATAGGCACTGAGTAGAGAAATAAATAGGAAGGTGATTTGCTTTTTGGAGAGAGTTTGTTGTATGTTTTTGTGGTTTGTGTAAATACCATCGTTAAAGACAATCAGAAGTTTTTCAAGCATTGGTTTAAGTCCCAAATCTGTTTATCAAGTAGTAAATTGTGAATTCTTTGCTTGCTTTTATTTTCAAAGATAATTATGTTTGCTCATATTGGGTTATGTACATACCAGAAGACTTTTTAAAAAATTTAGTTTACTTTTTGGATAGGGAATGTGGCCACATGGTTCAGTTGACATTGAGCAGCTTTGCTTTTACCCTGTCCTCGTCCTTCTCCTACACAGCTTCTATAGATGACCACTCTTTCTGTGTGATCTTCCAGTGCTTTTTATAAATGCAAATAGGTATCCTAGGAAGATGTTTTTTACTCAGAAAAAGGTGATATAATCCATAATTTGTTGCTTATAGATAGACCATTCCAGTACTTTAATGAGGATAAAGGTAAATGTGGCAACCCCTTCCTTACTATGCCAGTGCTTGGCTCAGTTGATAAAGCACACTGAAATTGCTTACCAGCTCCTCCTTAACTCATCCTGAAAGGTAAATAGCTATACGGGAAGTGAAAAACAAAATAATATGTAACATTTATTGACAGCTTACTGTATACTATGCCGAGTTTCCAACAACTCTATGAAACTATATACACTTAGCATTCCCATTTTATAGGTAAGAAAATTGAGGTTCCAGAGAAGTTAAGAAACTTAACCCATGTAATTAACAGATAATTAGTGCTAGGATTCAAAGCTAGACTTTTTTACTTTTATAATTATGAACATTTTCAGACGTAAAGTAGAAGAAACTAGTTTAATGAAATCCTATATACTCATCACCCAGATTAAGTAGTTCTTAAGATTTTATATTTGCTTCATCTGTGCTTTTTTTCCCCTTTAAAAACAAGTTCTACATGTTATGTTGCTCCCACGTACTGAAGTATACATCTCTGAAAAATGTGGTTTTTTTTATATAGTATCGTGCCTTTGTTATATTCCTCCAAACAGCAAGAATGATAAAGAATTGTAAGAAAAGAAGTTGGCCAGTTGACCAAAGCCATCAGCTCCAGCCTAAGGAAAACTCAGCAATTTGGTTATGAAAGGGTGGGGGTGACTTCTTAACTGTTCATTTTACACAGGGGTGGCTTTTCACAAGAACAGTAACAGCTGACCCACATTAAACTAGATAAAAGATACAGAGGCACGTGGCAGCCAAAGTGTCACGTTCAAGCCACCTTTTCTAACTAGTTTTATACCAGTTACAGTCTACATAAAAATTTAAAAGTTTTCATTCTTTTCTTGTGAGAGGTTAAATGAAACTGAATTTTAAATAAATTGCATATTTATTTTTGATGTGTGGAATCTTTCCTGATGGACTCATAACATGAAACTTAAATACTTTTCTTTTTTTAAGGTCTTTGATTTGCGTCAGTGTCATCGACAGATGCAGCAGCAGGCGGCCACTGCACAAGCTGCAGCAGCCGCCCAGGCAGCAGCCGTGGCAGGAAACATCCCTGGTCCAGGATCAGTAGGTGGAATAGCTCCAGCTATCAGTAAGTACACTTTGGGTTTTTGGTTTTTTTTAAAGTGTAATAGTTGGTGTTTTATCTTCACTTACTCGGTTAGTTACTTTGAGTAATAATAGAAATTAAAATTCTTTACTGGGATGATAACATTTTTGAATTGGTAAAAACTGTTCACCCTTTGCCCAGGATCCTGTTTGCATTCTTTTTGTATCAAAAAGGAAGTATGGGAGAAAGGGGGTTGTTGTTATTATATTGTTCCATCTCCCTTTTTTTTTTTTTGATACTTATGATTCCTGCCTCACCAGCCAGGGTGGGTTGTAATCACTGAAGTGCTTGGCTTTATTCTACTAAGGAAAGTATATTTCAATTTCAGAATTGGACACCTCTCCAATTTCTTTAAAGTATGCTAAGCATGGAGAGAAAACTAAGTGAGGGTGGTATTTTGATAACTTGTAGACTTTTTTTTAATTTTAGGGTAAAATTGAACTGTGTGCCAGGTTTCACACTGATGGGGAATTTTTTACTGCAGAGTTAAACTCCTGACTATAGACTTTTATGATGGAAACACGTGGCACCCATCTTCCACGTCTGAAGGCATAACTAGTGATTCATTCAACCCCTGTTCTTAACCTCTTCAGTGTGGTAAGCAAATCACACTGGCTAAGAAAACTGCAGTGGCCCTGCAGGTTTCTCTACAGTATATGCAAATTCCTCCCGTTAGTTTCATTGTAATATTGATGAATGCAGATTGACTGTATGTTCTGACTGGAAAACTAGATGCAGAGTCTACATTGTGACTTATGTTCAGGAGTTTACAATTTAGAGGTAGATAAGGCATATTTATTTAGGGAATTTGATTTTTAAAAATTTGGGCATCTAAACCATTAATTTGGTAGTTTTGATGTTATAAACATGCTTTTCCTAAAGAATCCAGATTATTAAATTTCTTATTCTCAGCTGTTGCCCCCATTGAGTAATTGTGTATCAGTTCTCTGTTACACTGCGAATTTGAGAGATAGACATCATTCGGGTCATCCAAGAAGTCAGTAGAAGCAGGAATATTAACTGTCTCATTTTTAGTTATACTTACTCTGAACTAGGCTGTTTAGACAGTAAGGGGTTCCTAGAACCAACTTGAGGACAAAAACAAAGTGTTTCTCATCCCCTCACCTCTACTTCTAAAAAGAAAAATAGGTGGGGTGTTGGTGGATTGTGGTAATATGCATTGTAATTGGTTGTAGCTAGAAGACACATGTGGAATGTAAACTGCCTTAACCAAAAGTTTTCAGTCCTGTTGATAAAGTTTAGATCTACAGTTACTTCTTGGCACTTTGACAGAGAAGTTATATGCTGAGGAGAATGCAATACAGAAAGCTGGTCACTTGATTAATGTAAGAATGAGGGAGGATGGGAAGAGAGAGATCACCTTGTTCCTCTGACATCTTCCCAATCTTTTGTTAGGTCTGTCAGCTGCCGCTGGAATTGGTGTCGATGACCTTCGTCGCTTATGCATACTCAGGATGAGTTTTGTGAAAGGCTGGGGACCGGATTACCCAAGACAGAGCATCAAGGAAACCCCTTGCTGGATTGAGATTCACTTACACCGGGCCCTCCAGCTCCTAGACGAAGTACTTCACACCATGCCAATTGCGGACCCACAGCCTCTAGACTGAGGTCTTTCACTGCTGGGGCCCTTACCATTAGCAGGATGGTGGACTATGAAATACAATCCTGTTTATAATCTGAAGATATATTTCACTTTTGTTCTGCTTTATCTTTTCATAAAGGGTTGGAATATGTGTTTGCTGCCTTGCTCCTAGCAGACAGAAACTGGATTAAAACAGTTTTTTCCCCTTATTTAGAACTTTTCAGGCATGGCTCAAAGCTTGAAGATTAGGAAACACACATTCTTATTAAATCTTCACCAGTTATGTATGAAGGAATCATTCCTGTCCTGGAAAGTTTAGCCCTTTAAAACGTCTTAGAGCCTTTTATGTGCAGGACATTGATAGGTGTTATTCTACAGAATAAACCCAATATTACTGATTTTAAAGGCAGAGAAGTTCTCAAAGTTAATTCACCTATGTTATTTTGTGTGCAAGTTGTTATTGTCGAACATACTTTACTCCAAAAATATTGTGCCATGTGGGTGAGTTAATTTTACCAAGAGCAACTTTACTCTGTGTTTAAAAAATAAGATAGTAATGTATTATAACCTTTCATCCAAAATATTTTTTGCAAGTTAAACCTGTGAAGATGATTTCAATTCAGATCGTCTTGCAACTTCAGTTTTATTTTTGCCAAGGCAAAAAACACTAATCTGTGTGTATATTGAGAATTCCTTAGAATTACCAGATGAAGAAATGTCATTTAAATTACATTTGTTATCCCTAATGGATGACTATTTATCAAGAAGTATACGTTTGCCCTGTTAAACAGTAGATGTATTCTTCTGTACTTCTAGGCACAAGGTTGATTACTGTCTAGAAGAAGAATTTCTTTTTCCTTCATTAATTCATAGGGAAAGGTTTTGTATTTTTAAAAACACTAAAAGCAGTGTCACTCTACCTAATATCTCACTGTTCTGCAAAGGTGGCAGTGCTTAAACTAAATAATGAGTATTTTGAAAACTGCTAAATTCTATGTTAAATACTGTGCAGAATAATGGAAACATTACAGTTCATAATAGGTAGTTTGGATATTTTTGTACTTGATTTGATGTGTGACTTTTTTTTCGTATACTGTTTAAATCATGTATGTTATGACATTGTTTAAAATTCAGTTTTTGTATCTTGGGGCAAGACTGCAAACTTTTTTATACCTTGTGGTTATTCTAAGCCCTTTGCCATCAATGATCATATCAATTGGCAGTGACTTTGTATAGAGAATTTCAGTAGAAAAGTTGCAGATGTATTGACTGTACCACAGACACAATATGTATGCTTTTTACCTAGTTAGTAGCATAAATAAAACTGAATCTCAACATGCAAAGTTGAATTCTAGGTTTGATTTTTAAGATTTTTTTTTCTTTTGCACTTTTGAGTCCAATCTCAGTGGTGAGACACCTTCTACTAAATGACAGGCAACAGCCAGTTCTATTGGGCAGCTTTGGTTTTTCCCTCACACTCTACCAGGACTTCCCCAGACATTATGTATCATGTGTAGAGCTGGTTATTTTTTTAAATTTTTATTTTACTGTAGCAAAAATAGGCCTGATTGATAAATAGGTTGTGTACAGGATAAATAGTGTGAAATAAAATCATGAATTATCTTTTAGATGCTTTTACTTTCTGCTCGGAGGGCTTTGTAAAGCTATAGAAACACTTGTGGTGACAGTCCTCCTTATATAACCTGAAATGAACAAGTCTTGTACTGCCTTGCTCAGAAGGTCTTTTTAATAAGGCCGTCCTGGAAACCACTGAGTTTGCTAACTGTTGTTGTGATTTAAACATAGATCTTGATCCAAGCTTTGTCTTTTGTTTTCCAAATAACTTCTCTACCAACTCATTTGTACTCTTGAGTACTTAAAAATACTTTTGTTAAAGGCCTAATTTTCTTCTGTAAAAGTTTGGTGATTTAAGTTTGATTGGCAGATTTATAAAAAGATATCTTCTGTAGAATTTATTGACTTTAGGTCCATTTTACTGTGAATGAGGAATAGGAGTGAGAGAGTTGGAGAGTAACAGATTTTTTAAAATTCCAGATGATTTGATTAAAACCTTAACCATGCATTGATATAATCCATTACCTCCTTTTCTACTTTAAGGAAGGTTTTCATGTTTAATCATCTGGGAAGAGTATGTGGGAATATTTTGCTAAGAAGTATCTCTTCAGAACCAAGCCACCTGTCTTGGTTTCTTTCTACTAAGAGCCATAAAAATATAGAAATACTTCTAGTTATTAATTGCTTGCATTTGTACCTAGATTTAGTCACATGCTTTTGAGAAAGCATCTAGTATGTTAATGATCAGTTATTCCTGAGAGCTTTGTTGCTCATCTGTATTTCTGTTTCTTGGAGGTGATCATCTTTGATGAGTAAGATGAAAGAATCTCACTAGGTTTAAAATTTTATGTCTACTTTAAGGGTAAAATAGTTTCTGCAGTTCTCAGAATCTGATTATTATGAGGATATGATTCTGGGTGAGTTTTCTGTAGCTAATTCATATCTCAGAGACTCTCAAAATGTTGAACTTCAGTGAAAGCTGAATGAGAGATGAACCACGTACATTATGAGACCCATTCATTCCACTTTTGTCCAGTGCCTTCCAGTGCATTATCAAAGGGAATGCTTCATGGTGTTGCCTTTATTTTCCAGGGTGTAGCTTCTTCCGTGGGATATGGTCTATCTCATTTTTTATAGTTTTACTGCCCCTGGTCTACAAAGATAATGATAATAAATCACTGCCATAGAACCTTGCTTTTTCCAGAAACATGGCTCATTTGTATTGCTATACTCACTAAATAGGTGGCCTGTCCCATTCCTCCTGTCAACAGTACAGGTTGTAGGCTGTATGGTTTGGCCTAACGATAACCATACTTGAAACATCCAAGTAAACTGCACACTTATTAGCCGTGTTGTATTTCAGATTTAAAATCCATTTTTGTGGGAAAGGGTGCGGTGTATAAAGGGGGGTATTTGTAATACTAATTTTGAAGACAAAATAAAATGCCCTGTCTTCCAGATGGTAAATATCTTTTTATTTTAAAAGTTTATTGCTAATTGTAGGAAGGTGAGGTGCAGGTATCTTTTTGACTGTGTCTGTCTGGGAAAAGAAAATCTTACATTTTACCCAATTGCTCCTGAAGTATCTGTGGAGGTTAAAGAATAAAAAAATGAAATGTTTCTGTGCCCAGTTTGGTGGTAACTAGTTAATAGTTACTCAGCTTTTTCATGCAAAGTCAGATTAGTTCAGGCCCTGTTTTGAGAGCATTTTGGGAGAAGTTTTATTTTGAGTAGGACAGAGTTCTTTTTGTTGATAATTTCTATAGTTTAATCCCTTCATCATTGCCATTTTTGTTGGCATTTTATTTAATGGTAGAGAAAAATGGTCACTGAGGTAAATGCATATATGAAAACAATTACCTGTAAAATCAGTTACCAACTCTTGTAGGTTGGGCACATTCAACATGAAGAAATGCTTTTTTCCCCCCTAAAGGTAGAGCCCATCTTGTTATAGATAGCTATCTGTAAATAATCTCCTAAATCTTCCTTTACAAGATTATAGAGAATCGGCCATGAGAATCTCGTGCAAGCCTCCCCATATTTTCCCTGATAATTAGATAATTTCTTTTCTACAAGAAGGATGTACAAAGTCAGTGGCCTTATTGATTCAAAAGCAGTGTCCTAGGCCCAGCCTATCCCCAGCACACTTGTCCCAGTGCTGCTAGGTTTCTTGTTTATCTGGTGTCACCGTGGAATGAAATTTTCCACATAATCCAAACTTGCCTTATTTAAGCAGAAAACTTTTTGTTTTAGCCGTTTTTTGATGAAGTTATTTAATACGTATATCAGAATATACTGGATTTAATGTTTCTCTTTTGGTTTAGCTATCTTTGAGGACTTCAGGGGCTTCTAAGACAGGCAGGACTGTTTTGCCTTTATGAAAGGGTCTCAGACTGCTATGGTTTTGAATTTTTAGTTCTTTAAGCCCCTCTCCCCCCTCCTGGTCTTCTCCCTTTCTGACAGCTGCCACTTCATGTGCGCTTGTTACTGTGCTTGCCCTTAGGATTTTCCTCTTCCCTTTCTGATGCATTATGTCTAACTGCTTAGGCAAGGAAACCAGATAACCAAACTTCCTAGAACCTACTTTAAAACACAAGTACAAACTCTGGGACAGGACCCAAGATGCTTTCCTGTAAAGTGTTGAAGAGGACTTCATTGCATTGGTATTTGACATCGGTTTGACTGCTTAGAGTGCTTCCTGTTCTTGCTGAGTTTCAGGTAGTTACGGTAGAGAGAAGTGAGTCATATCCATATTTTCCCCCTTAGAGTAATATTTTGAAAGGTTTCATTGCTTCCACTTGAATGCTGCTCATATAAAAACTGGGGTTATAAGGGTTACTAAATTAGCATCAACAGCCAGAGGTAATACTGTTGCCTGGAGGACACCAGTAAACAAACACACAGCCAAACAAAACAAACCTTGAGAATCCAGAGGGTCGTTTGTTTTGTTTTGGTGTCCCCTTTTAAGCCTTGCCTTCTGGCCTTCCTCCTGTACAGATATTTTTGACCTATAGGTGCCTTTATGAGAATTGAGGGTCTGATATCCTGCCCCAAGGAGTAGCTAAAGCAATTGCTGATGTTTTCAGGGATTTTAACATCAGACTTGAATGAATGAATGAATGAAGCTTTTTTCCTTTTTTTAATGTAGGAAGGACTGAGGAGAAACCTTTGGTGAAGACAATCATTTCTCTCTGTTGATGTGGATACTTTTCACACAGTTCACTTAAGATGCTTTCTTGATAGATCCAGAGCCAGTGTTCTTGTTCAACCTGAAACGGCTCTGGGCTGGGCCAGACAGCTGCACTCTCTAGTTCGCACTCTGCCATTATTTTGATGTGTGACCTTGGGCAAGTCATTTACCTTCTCTGGGCCTCAGTTGCCTCATCTGTAAAATGAGGGAGTTGGACTAGATTAGTTGTTCCAGCTCTGAAATTCTAAGTGACCTTGCTTACCTTGCAGCAGTTTTGGATTTCTTCCTTATCTTTGTTCTGCTGTTTGAGGGGGCTTTTTACTTACTTCCTTGTTATTCGAATGAGACTAGGCTTGATATTTTATTACTGTTCTGCTATGGACAAAAAGTTACATAGTATGTCCTTAAGACTTAATTTTAACCAAAGGCCTAGCACCACCTTAGGGGCTGCAATAAATAAATACTTTACAGAAAACCCACAAAAAATTGAAAGGGGGAAAAGCCTTTATTTTATTTTTCCATCATCTCTGGTCAAAGTTTATTAAGGCTTTCTTTGAGTCATGACATTCTAGCTTTCGAGTTGGTATGTGTGTGACACCATCCTCCTAAGTGCTGTGTGCTGGTAATGGTTTTTCAACTAAAATGGATTGAAAACTTAATGCCTAATGATTATTAGCGGTCATTACTTTGGGTCTTTGGTTTCTTAACTCTTCTATGCTCAAAACAGGGGAATTCCTCCAAACTGCATCAATTAAAATGGTTTATATGACTCAAGAAAACAATACCAGTAGATCATTATTCACTTTATTCTTGGCTCTTCCTAGGTCTATTTTGATTAGATGACTTTTGGCTGGATCATTCCTTTCAGAGTTCTCTTCCAGCCTACCCTTGGGATGAGTATAATTAATGAACTTGGCTTTTTCAAGGACCTGGGGAGCCTTCCTTGGGGCTGGGTTGAGGGTGGGGGGTTGGAGAGTCCTGGTAGAGGCCAGCTTTTGTGGTAGCTGGAAAGGAAGGGATGAAACCAGCTGCTGTTGCTAAGGCTGCTTGTCATTGATAGAAGGACTCATGGGCTTAGATGGATTGAAAGGCTAAACTTGGAGTTGGCAAATCTTCTCCAAGTATTGGGTTCTGTTCAATGCATTGGACATGTGATTTAAGGGAAAGATATGAATGCTTGTAGATGATAAAAACCTGGTGGGCTGCAGAGCTCAGTGTGAACAAAATGACTGGGGGGTTGGGGACAGATTTGGTGGTGGTATTTCCCAACTCTGTTTCTTCCCCTGAAGTCAGAGGAATGCAGCTATGCCAAAACCCAGAGAAGAGCCACTCTTAGCTTCTGCTTTTGGAACAACTGGTCAGCTGAAGCTCCAGTAGTTCCTTTGTGGCTTTCTGTATACTTTTGCCTGGTTGAAGTCTGTGGCTAAAAAATAGTTGAACCTTTCTTGAGAACTCTGTAACAAAGTATGTTTTTGATTAAAAGAGAAAGCCAACTAAATCATTATGTGCTCATTCTTTTTCTTAAGTTTGTGGATGTCTTGGATCTGGAAAGAGTTCTTAATCATTTAGAGAATTCTCAAACTT